GAGATGGTGTTTTCTTGTAAAACATTCTCCAATCATTTTTGTGTGTGTGCTCTTGTGTGCGTGTGCATGTGTGTGTCTGTGTGTGTGTGCGTGCGTGCGTGCGTGTGCTGGTTGGTCGGATGGGTTAGTGGGCGGGGCTCGGGGTGTGTCTGACTGAATTCACTCGCAGCAGCTGCTGTTCACTTGAGCTCAGCCACCAAACCATTCAGCACAGACCATCACAAATAATCCCAAAGAACTAACGACTGAATCAGTTCAGACTCACTGAAGGCTCACAAACACATGTAAAGCGTCCAATCTTAATCGGATAAATGAAGATCAGTGTGTTTCTGGAGCTGAACATGACACTTCTGATCAGTAATGCTGTGATATTTACACAAGTTTGCATTGATTTCAGTTCATCAACAACATGAAGATGCTTTTATTATGAGCAGCACATGAAAAACACATTAGACAATGGCAGAGATTGTGGATTTTTCAAACACAATGAGCTTTTCTCTTATGTCACGATTTGAATAATGTTGAAAAAGAGGAAGAGAATAGAGCTGAAGTCCACTGTTCACACAATAGAAAATTCATGCCAGTCACTTATAAGAAGTCAGATGTAATGTGAATGAATGTATGAAGTATTTCACTCTATTCTTTCCTGTTTCTGCAGCTGCTCAGGAAAACCCTCGTGAGAATTGATTACAGTGATTTCAGTTTATCAACAACATGAAGATGCTTTTATTATGAGCAGCACATGAAAAACACATTAGACAATGGCAGAGATTGTGGATTTTTCAAACACAATGAGCTTTTCTCTTATGTCACGATTTGAATAATGTTGAAAAAGAGGAAGAGAATAGAGCTGAAGTCCACTGTTCACACAATAGAAAATTCATGCCAGTCACTTATAAGAAGTCAGATGTAATGTGAATGAATGTATGAAGTATTTCACTCTATTCTTTCCTGTTTCTGCAGCTGCTCAGGAAAACCCTCGTGAGAAACACGTGAACGGGAAAGAGTGCGACACGACAGCCAGCGGTGTCCCTGAGAGCCAGCTGCTGCTAGAGGTGTGTGTGTGTGTGTGTGTGTGTGTGTGTGTGTGTGTGTGTGCTTCTACTTCTACTTGTTAGAACTAAATGTCCTCACTAAAAGATACCGTGTGTGTGTGTGTGTGTGTGTTTGTCTGTACACGTGCACTGATGATGATAGTAACTGTCTCACTGATTCTGTTGAACTAGAACAGTTGGATTTAACTAGTAGGTTGATTGACTAGTTTTGAACAGTTCACACAAACCAGACGGCAGCATCTTAACAGCAGACGAGCGCGAGGCAGCGCTGAGCTCCAGAGACTCTCG